CGTTAATAATATTCTTTCCTTAATCTATTACCCACTTAAAATAATATCTCGTATACCTAAGTATAAACTATATAACCTAAAGTCCCTCCTTTAATCTTACTAAGTCTCCCTACTTCTATAGGAAATAGTCGTTTAATTCTTTTTATTATCGACTCTACCTAACTATAATCTTTATAACCGGTTTAGGATTTCCGTTCTTTCTTACTTACCGTACTAATTAATATCCTTAAAGAGCTTTATTTTAGTAGTGCTTTATATAACCATATATAATATACTAAAACTAAAGTATTTTCCTATACTTTAGGTATTTAGGATATAATTATACTGTATCTCCTTTACGTAGCTCATACTACTAGTACTAAAGTACTTATTTAGGCTCTTGCGTAAGCCCTATACTAATAATCTTCTTATTTTTCCCGAACTTTTCCTAACTCTTAAATATAAATTTATTTATTTCGTAAGTCCGCTATAATACTATACTACGGTACTGCTCGTACTTAATTTTTAGTATAACCTACCGCATAAATCCGTTAAATAGTACCGGGTTCGAGTGCCTAGTCTCCTCCATAACTATCTCCTATAGTTCCCGGAACTATACGTTTACCTTTTAATATTTATCCTTAAGCTATTCTAGATTTTTTATAAGTTCCTAAAACTAATATTTTACCGGCTATTTTTCTTTAAACTAATAATCTTCCTCTTTACGCTCGATTATTATAATCTCGATAACCCTCGTACCTCCCGATATAGTAACTACTACGACCTCCTTCTTCTACTTAAGTTACTTAAGTACCTAATAATCCTTTTTAAAATAACCTATTTTTCTATAATTAAAGTACTTAAAATTACTTTTACCCTAACTTTAACCTTAAAGTATTTACTATTAAATTACGTCGATTTTTATAGACTTTACGTAGGTAGTTCCGGAGTAATTAGTATTAAAGTACTATCGTCTCTTTTTATCGTTTAGACGGTAAGTGCCCTATAATCCCCGGGTACCCTTCTTCTTTTTACAGTATTAAAATTATTAATTGTCGATACGTATAATTATAGTAATATACTTATTTATAATATCGGGTCTCTCCTCCTTATATAACTCGTTCTTTACTTCTTCTTTAAGGCCATTATAAAATAACTATATTAGCCCCTCATCGTTAATCTCGCTACGTAGGCTATCGGTCTTAAATAAAGTAACGTAGTTAGTTATTAAGCGAGTCTACCGCAGTCCTGCGAGTTGCTCCTAGGTACGCCGTACCTCGTTATATTCCTTAAATATTTCTTTAATTTTAGTTTCGAACCTCCGGTAATTACGAAAATACTTAACCGTAATATCTTTACGGTTATCGGCCTTTATTTCGTAATAGTTATTTATAACCGGTTCGAACTATACTAATGCTCTATCCTTAAACCTAAATACGGCGAATAGTACTTTAAACTCCTCTATAGGGAATATATCCGGGTAGTACCGAAAATAAGTCTTAAATTAAATTAGGAACCCTCTAAACTCTCCCTTTCCTTTATTAAAACGCTCCGGTACTAGAAACTTAGTTATATACTTCTTCCCTCCGCTAACGGTAAGGATTTAGTTTTCGGCCTACTAGGCTCTCTCTTTAAGCTCCTAATTACGTACGAGAAGCTAATCGAGAGTACTGAGTTCCGGCGTAATAGC